CCCCTCGCAGCGACTGACAAACGAAATGCGGGGAAGTTTATCACGTGCGAGAGGACAGTGGGCATACGAGGCTTGGTGAATAAGGCAGCGTGAGTCAGCGTAGCAGGCTCCCAAAAACTTTCCCAAACGAAGGATAGCTTTGCTAAATTTGTATATTTCTGTGTAGCTTATTCCAGATTGTTATGGCGTTTCATTAAAAAAAACTGGCAAAAAGGCCCTTCTGTAATCTTCGAAGCCCCAACGGATCGAGGTTAGGAAGTGAACGACCTTATGGTAAGACAGGTCGTGGTGTTCTGACGAGTAAAGTCTTTTAGTAAAGAAATGCTGGGCTGATTCTATTTTCTTCCGTTCACAAGCTCACAAAAGGCTAAATAGAGACGAGCGATATTTCAGACTAGGTCTACCGTACACTTAATAAAGGCTTATTATAACACTAGTAGTTTTAGAATTTGTGAGAGTAAATTTGGCATGCTTTTTAGACAGCCAGGATGCAGTGCTCTGACAGATTAGGACTAGCTCTATTTTGCCTTCATATTGCTCGCATTGTACCACGACAACTCCCTCGAATCTGTGTGATGATAATTGTATACAAATTCATATTGTCTGTGTAACTGTAATGGTTCTTTTATATACAAAGCAAATATAGTGACGTTTAACATTTTCACATCTCGTGCTGAAATATGTACTTCAGCCATGGTGGTCAGCTTGCAAGTGACATAGACTATAAGTCCACCTGCCCTAGCTGGTCTGTCTCTCCTGAAAAAAATCTGGTATTCTTTGAGTGATAATTCGGAACCAGCCATATCCGCTGAAAACCAGGTTTCAGTGAAATTCATAGTGTCTGCTTTCATCTCATCAACAACGTTTTTAAGTTCGTCCGGCTTGTTGAACGAGCTTTGTACATTTTTGAAGCTGGTCATTGGACATTGTTCAATTGGTTAGGTCCGGCCCTCATTGAGGCAGATTTTGGCCGAAGAGAAGTTGCCCTCATTTAGATCTTTTGCTGTCTTTTATTTTAAAGCCGTTTTCCTCTGCTAATTTCCTTCCTCAATTCTGTTACTAGTTCGCTTATTTTCAGCCGTGCCCTCAGCTCTTAGTCCGACTGAAAAATACTTGGTTGTGCAAACTTCGTAAGGCCGTTTTTCCTTTTAGCAAATGCGCTGCCTGGGCTTCATTTTCCAAAATAAATTCTAGGGCTTTGGGTACGTTTTCCGGTCGTGGCCAGAGTCTGTTTTGCCTCGTGGAAAAGCATGTTTTGACGGTGAAAATTTCTTAATCCTCCAGGACAGTACTGGCAGATTCGTGAACAGGATCTTCATCATTAGCCCCTCGTTCCTTTGTAAAAACTGACGTGGATTCTGGGGCACCTTTTCTGACAATATATTGCCTGTGATTTTTAGGCGGGCTTTATTTTGCGTCATCTGCTCCAGAAAGAGAGAATACTGTAGTGGCTCTTCTCGTGGATGCTAGCGCATTAACATGAGCTTTATTTTCGCTTGCTGCGGCCTGAGAATTTCACATTATTTTACCTGCCGCAATACTCTGTACGCAGCGGGTGTGCGTTTACTTCCGTGAACGGACTATTGTATGCCCTTTAAAACGTGTTCGCTTTTTATGCAATGGAATGACAACCCCGTCTTCCAGAATTGACGACGAGAACTTCTTCAAGATTCTACTACTTTGTAGGAGGTTTATCCTGGCTTTTCCATCTTAAGTATTCTTCGATTCCGTAGGTTTATTTACCAAGACGGTTAGCGAAGCTTGACTCATTTTGCTTCATGTATGTTTACTGTCTCCTCGTGCTGCAGACGGGGTTTTTCAGGAGGATGTTGATAAGTTTCAGTTTATTGAGGGAAATAGGCAGGAGCCTTTGAGTACTCTATTTGCAACGAGAATTAAGTGCAGTTTACAGACAAACAATGCGGATTGCAATAATTAAACCGGATTATAAAATACGACAAATGGGGACGATATTCCGAAGGGTGAAGTAAAATCACGCATCGTTCCGACGTATTTTCGAACACCAACCTCTCAAGGTTTCTTTTAAAAGATTCCAGCGATGATGACCTCACAACACCTGTGCGGAGGGCATTCCAGGGCTTGACCATTCTGACAGCAAAGGAGGACTTGCGTACATGTAGCTTTGCCTTCGGAACGCGCAGTTTAAATAATTGACTGCTGAGATTGGTCGTGCTAGGAAATTCAAAAAATTCCACGAACGCCAGGCAAAAATCCAATTTCCTCACATCG